TTTCATAAGGTTTAGACATGACTCATTTTTATAGTTGAGATGTAATTCTCCTATCTCCATAATTATGATTAGTGTTTATTCCTTTCCACTTGAGAGAGCTAGTGGCATAATTGTTGATTTTAATCCAAGTTGGAGCCCTTCTTAATAGTGATGCAAAAGTCCATTTTCATATACTTGTGGGTGACTAGTTGAGTATTCTCCTTAAAATGACAACTTGTCTTCCCAGTTAGAATCAATCAAAACAAATCTCTTTTGTTATTTTTACCACGAACTACCCAGTCCCTATTGGCATCTTAACCAAAGCCCAACCTTGCTTGGCATCCCTTCAAAAACCAATCCTTATTGGCAAACACCAAAAGCCCAATCGCTATTGGCACCTTCATTCAAAAGCCCAACCTTGCTTGGCATCCCTTCAAAGCCCAATCCCTATTGGCACCTTCATTCAAAAGCCCAATCCCTATTCGCATCTTAACCAAAGCCCAACCTTGTTTGGCATCCCTTCAAAGCCCAATCCCTATTAGCACCTCAAATCAAAGTCCAATCCCTATTGGCGCCTTCATCCAAAGCCCAATCCATATTGGCAAACACCAAAGCCCACTTTGTTGGAACTTCATTCAAAGCCCAATCCATATTGATACCTACTTTCAAAGCCCAACTACACTTGTCGCAATCATGATCTCTGGATCACATAATATATCCCCACAAAGAATGTTGAGCTCATTCCCCAACAAATATTTTAATCAATCTCTAGCAGATAGACCTACAAAAAAGCTTACCATCTTATATCCATAGTCGTAGATCCATCGATCTTACCCTCGATCAACCCTTTCCATCAACCCTTTGATGATGATATTCAAAATTAATTCCTTTCCGTCAACCCTTTGACGAAGATAAATCCCTTCCATCAACCCCTTGATGAGATTATTACTTTGAATTATCTTTCTATCAACTCTTTGACGATGACAATTGTTCTTTTCGGTTAACCCTTTGACGATGTCAATCTTCTTTCCATCAACCCTTTGATGGTGCGACTCTTTAGTTCAGTTATCTTTGCGTCAACCTTTTGACAATGGCAGTTGTTTTGTCCCATCAACCCCTTAAAGATGACATTTTTCTATCCATCAACCCTTTGATGATGTCACTCTGTAGTGCAGTTATCTTCCGTCAACTCTTTGACGATGACACTCCTGAGTAAACTTCCTTTCCCATAAACCCTTTGATGATATTCTTACCCGCGTTGTTCTTTTCTGTCAACCTTTTGACGATAACATCTATCTTTTCGTCAACCCTTTGACGATGACAATTGTTTTGTTCCGTTAACCCTTTGACATGACAGTGTTTCTCTTCCGCCAACCCTTTGGCGATGACAATTTTCTTTCCATCAACCCTTTGATGAAGTCACTCTTTAGTGAAGTTTCTCTTCCTTCAACATTTGATGAAGACAAAATTCTTTCCCATCAACCCTTTGATGACGATCTCACTTTCTATCAATCCCCAAGGCCATATATTTTTCAATCTCACCCTTTGTTTCCCCATTGGTGTTATCTTTCTGTTTACAGTTTCTCGGTTGTAAATCCATTAATTCTACTTCCTTCCTATAGATTCGTTGATCTGTTCTTTGGAGTCGTAAATCCATTGATATTACTTCTCTTTACCTTTTCGGTTGTAGATTTTTGATCCTGCTTCCTTTCCATGGATCCATTGATCTTCCATTTAGTCGTAAATTCGTTGATGTTGCTTTTCCTCATATTTCTAGATGTAGATCTGTTGATCCTACTCCTTGCTTCATTTTCTTGGATTTTAGATCCATTGATCTTACTTCCCATTCGCCAGCTTTTGCGTCGTGTATCTGTTGATCGTTATTCCTTTTTATAAGATACATTGATCTTTCCTTGAGTCATAAACCCGTTGGTGTTGTTTCTCTTCATTTTGTGGGTTGTAAATCTGTTGATCTTATTCCCTATTCATAGATTCGTTGATATAATCTTACCATCCTTTGGGTTGTATATCCGTTGATCATACTTCCTGCCCATAGATCTGTTGATCTTGCCTTACCTTCTATTACCTTGTTATCAGATTACCATTGTTTATACCATACTCAAACCTTTATCACCTAAAACCAGATGGTCTTTCATATATTCATTCTTTTGCATCTCCAGCATATCACTACATATATCCATTTCTAATCGGTCAAAATTTTAGGTATTCTAGTATTTATCCTCTTCTACCTTGAATGTCTGGAAGTTGTTGCTATTCATACCTTCAGGTTCAAGAATATTAAATAGGGGCAGCTGTCATACCCCAAATTTGGACCAGGAATTTTTTAAACGTTCATCCATCAGACTTCATCGTCTGCATAGCATAACACGACTTTCATATGATTTCCACCATCTGTGCATCATATCCATTATTCATGTCATTTAACCATTGCACATACAATTAGGCACCCTTTTTGTTGTCTAAGCTTAGGCATTGCGAGATCGAATCAAGTATCAAGCAAAAGGGTGTGCGCAGTGTTGATTGAAGTACAGTGAAGGTTTGAGCTAATCATGGTCAGACAATTGGTTTGCTTTTTCTTTGAGTAGTCAGGCAAAGTCAAGTTCATTAGTGCTTCATGGTTGAGTAATCATTAGAGTTCAGTTCATTCTAATCAGGATTTTGGTGTCGTGGCAGCATTTTTCATTTCTCAAGTCACTTTTGTTATGAATCATTATGAGGGCAGGAAGCGTCAGTTTCAAGTGATTTATGGATGAAAATCATCAAGTGATCAGAATCAGAGTTTGTGCAAGTTCAAGTTAACTAATGAAGTCAAGTTGTAGAGCTATCAAAAGACAAAATCATTTCAAGATGGAATCAGGTTGCGGTGTTGTTTCTCATGGAATTGATTCAAGGTTTAAATGCATTTCTTGCATGCTTTTGATGAAGAGCTCAAGATCCTGAAATATGGTTTCAAGGATAATTTGTTGGATCAAGTCAGAGGCGTCACTTATTCAAAACTACTTAAAGTGGTTCACTTTTGGAATTGATTCATGGGTTAGTCGAAATTCAAAGATCAAGTTCTATATTCAATTTCCAAGTTACAACTTTATTCAAGATCCAAATAAAAAAATTTATTCAAGATCTAAGAATTTCATTCAAGACTTCGATTTAAATTCTTTTCATTCAAGATTCCATCTCATAACCTATTTCAAATTCCAAATTCCAAAGTTCAATTTACAATTTTCATCAAAGTTTTCAATTCAAATACATTTCATAAATCCAATATCCATATTATTATCCACTCAATTTCCATCTCCATACCTATATTAATCTAATTTAATTCATTTGCCAACTCCAAATCACTTATCCATTTTAACTTAATATCCACTTTCTTCCTAACTATTTTCATAAACTAATTCACAATACTCATAAAAATCTTATTATTCATTTTTTATTCCACTTCATTTTTAAACCCATTACAAACTACATTGCAAAAAAAAATCATCATTGCCAAAGAAGCCATTTCAAAAATTTAATTTCAATTATATTTTGTCTAACAAAAATATATATATAATAGTCCATATCATTATAACAAGCCCATGTGACAAAAATTGAAAAAAAAAACAATAAAAAAGGTATTGCATGCCTAAACCACTTTCAAAGGACCAAACATTACAATCCAAAAAAAAATCTGCTGCACTACTTGCACAATACGACTAACTGCCATGACCTACAACCCTCCACAATGAAACATAAGCCTACTGAACCTGCTCACAAACGAACAAACAACTGCTATCTCAAACCACTCTAGATACATCTTGCCAAACCTGCATTGAAAAGGGCATATCACAGCAACAGGACAAAACAAATTGTACTTTTAAACTTATTCAGCAAGTTTGATTTTGAATAAGAGAAAAGAGGAATAACAGAATGAAAAAGGGAGAAGGAGGGCGAAAAAATAGAGGACGCAAACCTTCATTTCATTTTAGGAAAACATCAATATCATCTCCAACCATCCACTGCAAAGCCATACGCATAACCCGTTTCACTTCTCCAATCTCTCCCTCCACCATCTTCTACCTTGAGAATCCAGACTTTAAAACACCCAAACAAAACCTCCTCGTCCAAGAATCCCACAACTACCATTTATGTACGTGACTCTGAACGATTTATAACCGTTTCAATACACCACAAACCCAACGCCACCATGATGACATTTACAAGCAAACCATGAATACTCCACAAACCACCATTAAATTACCTTCTGCTTCACACCTTTCCCCCACACGATCTACAACACCCTTGATTGTGTAACAATAATAACTTACATAAACCTTCAAATTTCACCCTCTTCTTTAACATCAGAATAACTATCAACCTTTAACATCAAAACCACCACAACATCTTCACCTCAAAAAAAACCCCACCACCATCTCGCTGCAATCATTCAACAACCACCCTAAAACACACAACGCCTCCCTGCCTTGATTGAGAGAAGGGAACAGAGTGAAAGTATACGAAACAAGCGAGAGAAATGAGAAGAATGAGATGTAGGCGGAAACCAGCAAAGGAGAAAGTCTTGCGAAAGAGAAACAAGAAGAAGTAGATGCGATTTGAGGAGTTCAAATGTGTTTTGGAAAAGAAGAAATGAAATACCATTTTTCTAAAAGTGTGTTTCCATTTGTTCTATTCAGCACAACTGTTTGTTTCATTTTCTCAAATTTAGCTTAATTCCACATAAGACTCAAGCGGGTCATGGTGGTCGACCCACCAATCTAGCTTCCACAATGGGCCTCTGCACCCCATTTTCTCCCTTTGGCTCATCATGTTGTTTCATGTTGTTTTAATTGTTAGTCCATGTTATGCTTATGGTTGGCTATTGGAGGATGATACAGTTAAGGCTGGGTTTCATGGCATGTAAGGCTCCCGGACAGTTTGGTATCAGATCCTGAACAGAAAAGAAGGGGTGCATATGGTATGAATATAATAAAGAGAGTGAGTAAGGGAGAAATCACTTAAACATGGAAACACCAGAATCAAACACTCAACCTATTACTACTACTTCTTCTTTATCACTTCCTAAACTCTGTAAAAAGACTAACTCTCATAAAATAGAAAACCTTATTGATTACTCTCATGTTCTTGAAGATGCTCAAATTTCTGAAACAATACCTCCTCTATTGAGTTCGTACAACATCTTCAAAAGACAAAGAAGTGTTACCAGATCCATCCGAAATCTTATCTCTACCAATCGCCCTCATATGAAAGAGTATGTCCAGTCATCTAGACTAGATCAATGCAGCCTAAGAGCTACAAACCAAGAGCAATACGTAGATCTAGAGATTCCCTAATATCTCATAGACCACTGGAAAACTGAAGGATATACAGCCTTACACGTCTTTTGCAAAATAGCTCTTCTGGACTCCAGCTACCTCCACTATGAAAATGTTGTGATATGAATTGTTCTAACTACACTTCATGCAGGAAGTGTCGTCCTCACCATCTTCCCTAACTATAATATGAGTCTTAATGATAACACCTTATCCACAAGACTGAAAGTACATATCCAAATCATTGGAACTGACCAAGTGCCTGAAGCTATGTCAGCTACCCTCCATCACCAGATAATATACCGCTTACAAAATCACTCGATGGATCTTCCTATCTCAGGATGCTCTTCAGATTCACTATTGGTTGTCACCAATAGAGAAGAAGACACACCCTTCATAGTCCAGATTCCAAGAAAGATCACAAGGGAAGAATTAACTCAGCTAATTCCCCTTGAATGGATAACCAACTATGAGAGACTTTATGTTGACAAAAGACCTATCTAATCTCAAGAGGCTACTTTCAGGAGATCTGTTGACAAGACAGTCAAGACGATCTTTAAGAAACCAGACGAAGGGTCGAGCTCAATATCTCCGATCTTTTAGACAATGATGATCCAACCAGTTCTCAAAGAAGATTGGTGTCCCGTCTATGCTGTTACAACAGAGGGAAAACCCATCTACACCGATAAAATAGATGGCCACTTCATTTGGGATGTTGATCCAACAAGATGTGACCCAGATTGTGACTGCTGGATGCACGATGATGATATTGACCGAGATATCATTCTTCCTAAAACAAAGAAAAAGGGAAGGTGTAAACCCTCGCCACCTCCTCAAAGGAGATCTGATCCAGACAATGGGCCATGGGTAGGAATCCATGGAAAAAAGAAACCCCTTTGTATCTACAAGGAAGGACTAAAAATCCTCAGGAGAGAAGGATTGCTACCACCTGATGATTTGAATCTTATTATATGGTGACCAACAGACCATTGTAAACCGTTACATCCTTCAGCTATTGCTCAGCCAATTCCTTGCTTTATGTATACAACCACAACTTCGAAGTACGACCGACAATTTCCGGCTTTGGAAAGAAAGATGGGTCCAGTCACAAGCAGAACATCCAAACCCTTCATTCATCCGAGTGAAGTCCAGCCCGATGCGAAGCTTAAACCTTTAACTCAGGCTGAGGAAGTTCTGAATTGGCAATCTGAAAACATGGTTTCTCAAAATGAAATTCTTCAAAACCTTGACAAAAAGGTAGATAAAATTGCTGAAAAAATAGACAAGACAGATGAAGATCTCAAGGTTTTATCCCAAAAAATGCAGAAACATTACAGAAGCTTGAAAGCCCAAGTATCCCAGCTAGATCGGGATTTGTGGCAGATGTTAGAAGAAAGAGCTTTTGGTAAAACATTTGACCAAAAGGAAAGAGAAATCAGAAGTCTACAAAGCCAAGTAAAAGAGATAGATAATTTCTTAAGAGCCTCTCATGAAAGAAAGCCCAAACCGGTTGAAAAATCTTTCTTGGATCCTCCTACTTTTCCTACATATTTCAAACGACTAGAAAGGCCTTCTTCTTTCTACCCTGTTTATGTTTCATCACCATCAGACCCAGTTAAATATATACCAACAGCTTACAGACCAAGATCTTCCAGAACTACCACTACCTCAACCTCCAAAACAAAGGGGAAAGCTGCCTGCTTAAGCGCTTCATCCTCAAACTCTCAAGATATCCCTGAAACACCCCCTTCAAAAATCCAAAAGGAACAAGAAATTCCTAATAAAGGTTTCCAAGCCATGGCAATCACTACAAATCATGAATCTCCTCAGAAAGATCACTCTGAATCATCAAAACAAAAGGGAGACGAGTCCTTCTCAGATGATGACAACAACTCTGATCCAGAATCATCTTCAGATGAGACACCGAGATCTTTTTCAACTAAATCAGAATCTGAAGACAACTATTTTCCAAGACTCTATGACGAATGTAAAAGAGGAAGAATCCTTTTTTGAAGTAGAATCCCCTGAGGAAACTCTTGTCCCTGAAAGGACTAAACCAAACAGAGGTCCTTGGTTCACTTTTGATGATATATCACCTAGCCGCTGGAGAAAAAGACTGCTTGAATTTGGAGCTTGGCTTGACACCTAAATGATGAGAACAAGTGCAGATAGCTACAAGATCATTGAAGAATTTTTCTGTAGAATGACGGGCACGATGAAAGAATGGTATCACAATCTTGGAGCTTTCAAACAAGATGAGTTACATCGTCTAGAAACTACAGCTAGTGTTCTTGGGGTCCTTTACCGAGAATTTATCGGTGATGTGGAAATATTTAATAGGAAAAACAGACAAGAATTCTTTGAGATGAAGTGTTGTTCTCTCAAGACAAAAGACCTCGACAGGCACTATCATAGGATGGCACAGAGGTATTATGTCCTTAATGGGTACAATGACCCAAGTCTCAAGAATACCTATGTATCCTCTCTACCACAAGAACTTCAGCCAGAAATTCATAGAATGTTAGCCACAGCTCAAAAGGATATTAAAATTATGAGTCTCGGCCAGATTCACCAGGTGACCTTAGAAGCACTTGAAAAGCTTTGCAGTTTTCATCATCAATTTTCTGAAGTTATAGAACAAAAGTCAAAGTTCACCCAAGCATGTAAGAAACCCTACTTGGAGATTAAGTGTAAAGACAAAAGGTGTGGTTGTTCAACAAAAAAGAAACATAAAAATACATCACACCTCACAGGATCTTCAAGGGAAAGAAAAGAAAGAATATGAAGTTCTTTAGAAGAAAACCTTTCAGAGGAAAGGGGAAAAATCATAGATGCTTTATTTGTGGTAAAAAAGGGCATTTCTCAAAAGAATGTCCCAATAGCACCCATAAAGCTGCAAAATTGATTAATTCTCTTCAACCTCTATAAGGAGACTTAGAATCTTTGTATTCTGAACAAAGCTTTGTTGATGAAGAAACAATTTTTGCCCTTTAAGACTCCTCGTCCGATGAAGCATCATTCTCGGAGTCCGAAGATGACAAATATCTTCCGGTTTACTCCATCAAAGAGATAGGCAGTTCTCTTCCTACTACACCACTTCCATGTGTTGAAGTCCATATTCTCGCAACAAAGTTTTCCTGTCCGAAGAAAGTTATAGCTTATATGGACATTGGGGCCCAGATTACCATGATGAATCCCAGCATTCTCCCTGCAGAATCATGGGTGACACATGCTGCATACTTTGTAGCAGCAGATGGAAAAGTTTTCAAGACAAATCTAATGACCAAGGAGAAAATAGGAATTAAATTCTTCCCAGACTGCATAGTCTGGACCAAGGTCATTGGCAGTAATCTTCCAAACAAAGATATTGTGGTAGGAATGGATGTCTATTCAGCAGCAACTAAACTCCAAATTCTCCCCATGGGAATCAAATTCAAAAGAGAATTCAAACCCTATTCTAGGATACTAAAACTATACTCACTTTCTAAGGTTCCTGCAGGCTATGAAGAGATCAAGTCCAACCTCCTCAGACTATGTGCAGAAATCCATGAGAAATTCCGCCACCCAAAACCTCTATGGAAGAATAAAGACTTCTTCGTTCAGCTTCCCTTCAAGCTCAATGAAGATGTTAATCCAACCAAGGCCACTCATCCAGGGATGAGTCCATTAGATTACGCATTAGCTAAGGAAGAATGCAACCAACTGCTGAAGCAAGGTCTGATAGAACCCACCAAATCAGAATGGGCTTGCCAGGCATTCTATGTGGAAAAGAGATCTGAAAAGCTGAGGGGAAAAAAGAGGCTAGTAATTGATTACAAACCTCTAAATCATTTTCTCAAAGATGATAAATTTCCTATTCCAAAAGCTTCGTCCTTAAATGTTTTCATCAAAGATGCCCAGATCTATTCTAAGTTCGACCTTAAGTCAGGATTTTGGCAATTGGGTATCGACCCTGAAGATCGCTATAAAACGGTGTTCTGCATTCCTAACGCCCAGTACCAATGGACCGTGTTACCATTTGGGCTTAAAGTAGCCCCATCACTCTTTCAAAAAGTCATGACTAGAATTTTTGAGCCCATCTTCAACAGTATCCTCATCTATATTGATGATGTGTTACTGTTCTCAAAAAAATGAAAAAACCCATAAACAATTATTGGGCCAATTTCTTCAAATAGCCCAACAACATGGAATGATGCTCTCTGAAAAGAAAAGTCAATTGGGACAGACAGAAATTGATTTCCTAGGGATGCATTTCTCCCAAGGGAAATATCAACCTCAACCTCATATTGCCCAAGAACTATTAGACTTTCCTAACAATTTCTTGGTATAATTAATTATATCCGAGATTTTCTGCTGAAACTGGCGAGATACACGAGTCCTCTATCTCAAATGTTAAAGAAAAAACCTCCACCATGGGGAACACAAAAAACCGAAGCAGTGAAAGCCTTAAAGAAAATCGCACAAACTCCTCCTGCTCTAAAAATCCCTAGGAATGGAAAAAGAATTCTACAGACCGATGCTAGTGATCATTATTAGGGAGCAGTCCTGATAGAAGAACTTGAAGGAAAAAGATACTATTGTGGCCATGCCAGTGGCCAATTCAAAGAAGCTGAAAAACACTACCACACCACCTACAAAGAAGCCCTCACTGTAAAGATGGGGATCCAAAAAATTGACTTCCACCTAAGAGGCTATCAATTTGAAGTCCAAATGGACAACTCCTATTTCCCTAAGATCCTTGAATTCAAAAATAAGATGCCTCCCGATCCTCAAACTCTTAGGCTCAAAGATTGGTTTTCCAGATATGATTTCTCGGTAAAACATATCAAGGGAACCCAAAATGTAATCCCAGACCTACTATCCAGACCCATGAAACCCATCCAGATCATCACAACCAAGCACATTTTTCCTCTAATTCTTACGGTCAAACCACTACCAACCCATGCATCCAAAACAAAGAATCTTCCTCCAGGAATAACGACCTCCTCTTCACTGTCCCAACTCAAGCAGTATGCCAGGAACACCTTTTCTCCTGCCAATTTTAATAAACCCAAATGCTAAATTCACAAAAAACCATTTGTGATATATTTGGTGTGCCACTTGTTTGTATTATATGCCTGTTCTTATTCCCACAGAGGCCATGTATCAACATATAATGGATCCCGAAAAGCACAAGTCTTTGATTTGGACCACTCTTGAATGGTATTCTCCATTACAATGGTGGAGAGATCAATTAAAACCAGTCATCGACGAGGTCAACGAACGAAAATTATCTTCAGAAGATATTGGTAAACTCAAGTTTGTTTTCTTTCTACACAGGCCCTATGTGATAGATCCTGCAACTAAGTTGCTTAATTGTAAGAGTTATGTTCACCTATGGGAAACCCTTGATAAATATCCTCCCAGTCTAAAAATCACAAGGGAATTACTTGAGTATGTTAACTACATCAATCTTTATGATCCAAAGAAACTCGATGATAGTTCCACTTGCACACATCATAAAAAATTCAGAAGACCAGAAGTTGGAGAAAGCTCGGCTTAAGCCATACAACAGAAACCAGATTCTCCAATGGAAGCTGAATTCTCTGAAGGACGGGTGGAAGAAGCTAACATGAGGTTAGCGGATCACACCTACATGATGGAGGACATTTGGCAGCGTGAGTCATCTCGCTATGGAGATTGCTTTTCTGACGAAAATTTATCTGACCAGAATATGTCCCCTTCTCATGAACCAATTTGCAAAGACTAAATGGACAAGTGTCCTTCAAAAATCACAAGCATATTTATGAATAGTTAATTTTGTCTTTTTGTGCAATAATGTAATCCATAAGTGATAAGTGTGTCAGACTTTTGAAAAAGGAATTCATATAGTATTAAAAATGCTATGCTTGTAAATAGTGTTGCTTTTGTCCTATATGTACCTCCTTGGCTATAAAAGGAGGGCTATTGTAACATATTTTCATCAAGCATTCACAAATAAACTCTCGTGTGTGCTTAAGAATAAACATGTTCTAAAAATCTCTTCTTTCTCCCTCAAAGCTTTAGTTATTGTATTCATATCATAATTCCCTCCATAGATGCAAGTATGCTCTACATCTGCCTCTAAATGAGGAATTTGTGTATCAGAAAACATCTGACCATTGATCCATACTACGGTCCTTACTGTTATGAATTCAATTTTAATTGTTAGTCCATGTTATGCCTATGGTTGGCTATTGGAGGACGATACAATTAAGGCTGGGTTTCATGGCATGTAACACACCCGGACAGTTTGGTATCAGAGCCTAAACAGAAAAGAAGGGGTGTATATGGTATGAATATAATAAAGAGAGTGAGTAAGGGAGAAATCACTTAAACATGGAAACACCAGAACCAAACACTCAACCTATCACTACTACTTCTTCTTTATCACTTCCTAAAACTTTTTGGGTTGAACTATTTGTATTTATTTAAATTAACTAGTTATTTTTATCAGATAATAAAAACCTCAAAATACTTTCTTATTTAATTTTGTGAATAAATCCTTTGAATTTTTTATTTATGTTTAGATTTTTATTGTTCAGGATTACTTAGTTTTTTGATATTTAATTTCTATTATTTCTATTGATTTTTCTGGTTAATTGTTTTATTTTATATATTATAAAAAAATTCCAAAATATTTTCTTTATTAATTTTGTAGATTATTCTTTTAATGTTCGTTTTAGGTTTGGAATTTAATTTGTTAGGGTTACATTTTTGTTAATTATTCTTTGATCAATTTAACTTTTTTTTCTTTGTAAGTTTGTAACTTAGACATCTTTTGTCGGATCTTGTGATTTCGATTTCTGACTATTCACTTGCTCGTATCTTGAGCTCTCCATTCATCTAACTGATACATCTTTCGTCTTGTCATATTATTTCTCCTTCACTACTTAAAAATTCGCGTTTTGTAATCGAATTAGAGATCGAAAAAGCCTAAAAACTGGTCACTAACGTTTAGCGACCAATAATGCGACTACCATAGTATTTCTCCT